CCTCTCCAGGTGCCTGAACTTGAGGTAAAACCTGCAGGTGTAACGGTCCGGTGGTCTGTCCGAGTCCCTGTTCTCATTCAGGGCGTCACCAAACACCTCTTTCGCCAAGCCAATCCTACTGCTGATGAAGATCCTCGGTAACTTTTTGGCCTTGACATCAATTTGACTTTCTCTGCCTCCCCCGGCGCAAGCCCCTCTGAAAGCGACCGTGATGTAGCCATACCTCCTGTCAAGGGAGTAAGAGGGGTAAAACCTCTGGTCGCTGCCCTGCGACGCATCATCGAAATCACTGTAGTACAAGTCATCCGGAAATAGTTTTGAATCCTCGGAAGACAAAAGTTTGACCAAATCTGGCAGCTGGAAGTATTCCGCCTCTCTTTTCAACCTTCCTCTCTCGGGGAAATGGTCAGGGAGGACAACTTGCTTATCTCTAAGGTAATCCAATACATACCGAAACAGAAAGCCATCTCTATCGATAAAATAACGTCCTCTGAGGTCCCGGGACAAGTCATTTGAAGACCCCTTCTTGTTAGAGAACAGCTTACCAAGTAAGGAATTTGGAAAGCTTGTCAAGGTGGCAAGGCGAGTGTAATACACCTGTCCACCCACGTTCAGCTCAATAACATCCGATGGAGGGTTTTGCACCGAACCTTGCTCTTTTGCAGGTTGCGTTTTGCAATTTTCGCTCAGTGCCATTTTTTATTTCCAGATCTTGCACGAAATCTGAGTCTCGATCACGGAGCGCAAACGTCCCAGAAGTTCAGCGTGTGGGGTGTAGCTGCATGGTGCTGATGCCCTCAGACCCAAAGCATAGTCTTGATTCAAGCTGCAGTCCGTGCATCCAGAGTCTCATGACAAACAATCCCAAGGTGTGCCTACAGTATATCCTTTAACCCCATGCGTAAATGTGCCTGCCCACGGTGCACCCTTTTTGAACGGAATCGATTATCATAACCAGTGAGCGCATCATGTTACACACATCCACTGCGATGGGTCATTACTGTGACTTCTTCAAAGAAATACAATCCTCACTTAATTCTTAAATTTCCCACCATCAGAAAGAAAAAGTAAAAACCTTTTATTCTTTAAGTTTTCAATGGAGAGGCGCGCCGTCTTGCTTCTGGTTCAGTCAGTCCAACATAAATTGAAGAATGTGCGTGCATCCCATCATTCTGCTACTGAGCGTCGCTCCTGACAACTGGGATGCTGAAACATGCTCCGAGGTTGCTCACAGAGAGGAGGATGGAAGTGGGACTCCTGTGCGCACCCATCTCTCCAAACTGCTGAGTGCGGAAACGTTTGGTCCGACAGAAGCTTTAAGATAATGTTGCTCCAAGCTGTGCAAGAGAGAGAGGGAGGAAAATCGTCCCATGAAGTAATGTCTTACATCATCTTAAAGGAAAATGACATTTGCAGACGATCGACATATAAGCGGTCTGATGTGGGTGCATCTGTGCAGTTTTTCATGAATTTCTGATCTAGCCACGGGCGGCGTGCAGCTGGCGGAGAGGATTCAGGTCTAATGCAGTTTTAACATCCAGCGTTGCGGATTTTAATCCCTTCTTCTGAGTCTTCACAGAGGCTTTCGCATTTACATTTAACGCTTTTAGCTGACGCGCTTATCCCGGGAGACGGGTGAGGGGTTAGGTCCCATGCAGTGTCTTGCTCAGAGACTCATCGGCAGTGACAGCTACATGTGAAAAGAGCTGGTGGTCTGCAGGATACTACTCTTAAACTCTTTTTTAGCCAGCTGCCAACAAAGGCTCACACATGAAATGAAATCAACTAAAAAAAAAAATCAGAATGACAGTTGCACTCTTCTGCATCAGCCTGAACCTGCAGACAGCAGTATCACTTCTTACAGCCTGAACGCTGTGACTGAATATGAAAATTGATCCCTTCCTCATCGATTTGACCGAATGAATTCCTATTTCAGGACCACGGACAGATCTCAGCAATCTCCAAGCCTCAGCTGCTTCATGCTCCATCTCTGAAATTTAACTCATATTAGAGTAAAAATGCATTGATTAATATATTTCAGTTTTGCACAAGTATGTGTTTTAATGCTAAATGAACATAATGCATCACTATGAGGTCATTTCTTCTCCCATTAAGTCCATGTGCCTCACAGTTTCCCTTGCAATGTTTGAGAGGGGGGATCAGAAATATGAATCCTCATTACTGAGTCATATTTTTCTGGATTATAGTAGCAGGAGGACAGGGGTTTGTGACTTGTGTATTATTGCTCAGGGCCTGCTCAGTGAATTTGTCATAGAGCCATCAACTCACAGTGAAGCCAAGTACTGTAGGGCGGAAAATCCAGTTTGGAAGACGTGAGATGCAAGGCAGAATTCAAGGCTTGACAATGCATGTCATCATCTATATATGCAGATATATGTAGGTCACAAGCTAGTGTTGTATGTAAGGTATGCATCAAAGGATACATGTGAGCGTTCACCTGCATTCAGAGGTGTCACCTGAATCTGAGACTTATGGACCTGTTTGTTTTATATATGAAGTATAAGGTCCCTCATGTCCAGTACATCACCAGCAGCACTAACACTGATCTGTGATTCAGACTGCTTTTTTGCCTCGAGTTTGCTTTTTGGCTTGTTTATTTTGTGTGTGTTTTGGAGCCATGTTGTAATAAATCAGAGACTTTTATTGCTGCAGTGCTGAGAGAAGGCGTTGATGATGGGAGCGCACCCTTGACTCGTGGTTTTGAGGAGGCAGCGGTCACGCTTTACCCTGTTAATTCAGAGTATATTGTGCTGGAGAGGGGTTGCTAAGCAGCCACAGGGGACTGAGTGGGATTCAAACAGTGGGGATTTAGAGCTACAGTGAGCATACCACTGATCTCTTTTTCTATGATGTGAGGTTTCTCTGCTTACATTATACATAATGTTGTAATGTTTTGTAGATTACGTGACCTTAACAGTGGCGTGCAGATAGGAAAAGCAATTAAATATCAATAGGTGGTGACAATATAGATTATTCTACGTTTGCTTCATTTGCTTAATAAATTCATATCTATAGATGTGAGTGTACCTCTGGTGCTGTGTAACAAAGGACTTGTAGTTCACTCCCGGTCCCTTGCTTGGGGATGAGTCTCTTCCCATATGTGCTGTAAACCCTGCTTCTTATTCATCTCACTCATCCTCCCATTAGAGCCAATTTCCCAGCCTCCTGTCTTCACTTTATTTCCTGTTCGTGTGCTACTCCCAGGTTAGATTCTATCTTTTGGAAGGGGTTGAATTTCATGCAACTTCAGCATGAATAATGTAAGACAATATGGGTCCCATCTGAGCGTGAAGTAAGAAAATCTGTATGTGCTGAAACATTACATGGACAAGTGTGAATTTTGCAAGCTTTTGCTTTATAATCTGCGGTATGGCCTGGGCTGAAATACAAAGAAAAGAACACATTTAGAGGCAGGTCAGGCTGTGTTGGCGTGCATAAAATACATATGTCAAATAAGAAATGGTTTAGAATTGAATTACTCAATCTCTTAATGGCAAAATGTTCATTGATAAATTTACACCTCAACATTTTTTGTGTGGATTGTGATTTTACAAACAAGCCGGTGAATGTGCAAATCTTATAATGCACTGTGGCGCAGCCTTGAAAGCAGCGACTAATACAGGCCCAAACCTCTCTGCAGAGTTATTATCCTTATGCACACAGTAATAGCCTGCCTTACCCTATTTCATTCCTCTCCCAGGCTCCTTTCAACCACTCATTTCCACATGAAAGAGGTAGAAGTGTGAACTGGGGTGCCTTGAGAAACATCATGCATGTTAGCTGTTTTCTGACAAAATCACGATTAAAGATACAAGTTAGAAACCACTCTAAGCTCCCCTCTGTTTGAATAAAGACACTATTTGCTTCTTGGTATCTTTGAAAATGCACATATAGATTGTTTCCCTCTTACCAGTAAGGTGAAAAGGTCACACATTACAGCTAACTGATTAATAATTATCCAGTAGTGGTTTATTGTTTACTGATGCAGCCATTTCAGTGACATTGAGTGTCCTCATGAGCCCCCGGAGGCAGTAGGCCTACAATAAGTACACCAACAGGGAAACTGAAGTCTTGTGATACTATTCAGTTGCAAACATAACAATAAGTTAAGTCAAGGGAACTTTTAAACATTGCACTGCAGTCTAGATAGCGATGTAATATCATATTATTGCACTGCCATAAACCAATACACCAACCACTATTATGTTGCATCCTGTGGGTGAAATGCTCCAGTTCATTGTAGGGTAAAAAGTTACATACAATAAACACTAAACTGAAGTGTGAGTTAATGTTTTTGCAAGCACAGTGAGACAAAAATAATTTGCATCTGATGTGAACAATAATCCTGTGATTTAGAAATTCTAATAATCTGATGTGCTGTCTGTGGTATGATACCCAGCCGTGCACTCAGGCTCAGGGTATCTTTGTTTGGGGACATATAGAGCAATAAAAAACTCTTTTTGGCTTGGCAGATCTGTAGCTATAGGCTACTTCTTGGTGTTTTTTAAAAGCAGAAATAAAAAACACCAACTTCACTTCCACAGGACTGCCCAGCTTAGACGTCTGTCTTGCTGTCTGTCTGTCTGTCTGTCTGTCTGTCTATCTGCCAAGGCTCCATAAACAGCTGCAAGACAGTGGAGCCCCAACAGTGGGCAGCTGTATGAGCAATCATGTAAGAGGAGACAAATGGTGACGTTTTGCACCACTTGTTCACTGCTAATGCACACGTGGCCTGGACTGTGCTTCATACCCATACTGCATTGTATGCGCTAAAAGAGCGTGATTAAAAAGCAATTGTTTTTCCACGGATATGTGAATATGTATTGTACAGTATTTATTGCACTGTAGTGAGAGTTTGAGGTTGAACTCCAGCACATAACAAGCTGCAGTCGCCCTGCTTAACCAGCAGGCGGCGCTGTGTGTTGTAAACAGGTCTGCCATGGGGCTGGCTTGCTCTGTTCTCCATTTTGTATGTTTTTCCTGGAGGTTAGCGCCTACTTTCCTAATGGCTAGCTGCGACTCTCCACTGCTCACCCAGTTTTACGCAGTTTGCATGACATTTTACAGCTAAATCGACCTGGAAGACTGAAATCTCTCCAGCCACATTCAGCTCGGCGGGTTTTTGTCGTTTTGTCGAGCCATGTAGCGAGGATACGACGCCTGGGGAGTAACAAACATTGAGTCAGTGTTGCGTGTTGTGCACTGCCACTTTCAACCAAAACAATGTTGACAGACGACCTGTGGACACATACCAACAATCAGTCATTTCAAGGGTAAATATGAGCGTTTATTCAGATTCGAGTTGATATATGTGTTAGCTGTGGGCAAATGCAGTAATGTGGCACATTTAAGGCTAAATACGCGATTATAGCGGCTATGTTGGCTAGCAGGCTAACGTTACTGTCAACGACATTCGAGCGAAATGTAGGTTCGTAGCCACTTTAACGGTTAGCCACATTGCTAGTTAGCATGCCAACAGTTAGCAACGTGGCTAACGCTAGCATAGCTTTGACTTGGGTAAACTTTACGACTATCTCTTGTGTGCTTTGTGGTGGTAGCCATGCAATGTGTGTTTACCTTTAAGGACAGTCTGTATTAGGTGGACACTGCTGTTCATGCGCTCATGTGCACATTTTTTGCTAATGAGAGAAGCTAACGCAATTAGCTATCTTTAGCTTCGTTAGCTATCAAGGGCGCGTGGGGGGGGGGGTTGCTTTGCAACTTTCCCCAGTCTTATATGGACCCATTGTCTGTTACTTGCTCTTTGCATGTGAACAAACTGGAACCAGTTTATTTAACATTAAATGTGTACAGTAGCAGTACAGTGCGCGTCTGATAATCCCTTTTTAGTAGTTTTAATGTGGTTGCTATGCACTCCTCTAAGCCCCGTGTGCTAACGCTCTCTCTCTGTCTCCCCCTCCCCTAAAATAAAAAGATGGATAACAGTGGAGTGAAGAAGAAATCATATAGAAGAGATGACCATTTAAGCAAATTGGTCTACACTGAAAGCCCTGAGGAGGGAGGTCTGTTAAAAGTGGCTCCTCACAGTGCTGTGTCCATCGCCTCTGCCACCTCAGTCGTTCTTCCATCCAGCCCGTTGATGCAGCCAGGACAGGTGCCTAACGGCCTCAGCAACAGCCCGCTTCCAGAGGAGCTCACCTCCGCCTCTATCACAGCAACCGTAGGCCCCTTGTTGGAAGACCCAGAGCCCAGGGTGCTGACCAAAGATCAGAAGCTTCTTCAGCAGCAGACTCAGACTTCCACTATATTTGGGCGTCAAACCTTGAGGGAAAATCTGCCCCAGTTGGAGGCCAGTATAGCAGACATTAGCCAGTCCTGCATGGATTCACTTATTGGGGGATCAGATCCCAATTTCTTTCACATGAAAACAGAGGATTTCTCCATGGATAAAGGAGACCAGGATCCCATTGACCTTGATCATGCCTTTGATCACATTGGGAAAGATGTGGATGTGAACCAGAAATTTTTCAGTGACAACACTCTGGACCTGCTCCAAGACTTTGAGCTCACTGGGTCCCCCTCAGATTTTTATGTCGGGGATGACGCCTTCCTATCCACTCTGGCAGACGATTCTCTGCTTGGGGACGTTAGCTCAGAGAGGGACATAAAACCCACCGTGGTTGAGAGCGTTAATGGCAGTGGGGCAATCTCTGTTGCTCTCAATGGCAACACAATCACATGTCCAGATCAGTCCAGCTCTAGTGTAGCCACAACTGCCTCCTTAACACCTACAACCACTTTGTCTGCATTGGTGAAGAAAGAAAAAGATGCTGGCTTCATCCAGCTCTGCACCCCAGGTGTGATCAAACAGGAGAAGACATCCACAGGTCAGAGTTATTGCCAAATAAGCGGCACATCCTCCACAGACATGCCCAGCCCTAACCCCATCTCCATCTGTGGGGTCAGCACTTCAGGAGGACAGAGCTACTGCTTTGGAGTCAACGCCATCAGCAATGAAGCTCAGCAGCAGAAGACTCAGAAGCCGTTGTCCAGCCAGTACCTCCCAGTGACAACCATTGGTGGGGCCTGGAGCAGAGTCCAGGGTATTGGGGACAACTCTGCAATGCTCAGGGCCAGCGAGCCTTTCTCAAGCTCTCCCTCTTACCCCACCAGCTTTGCCAGGTAAGAAATGTAGACAGTACTCTGATGTGTGGTCTGACCTGACCTTTCGTTTCAGTCTTAATAACTTGAGCAAATGTGGGTATGTGGCAATCCGTGTTTAGTCTTATTTTATCCCCCCTTGCATCACCAGACATCTTACATTCTTTGCTCAAAGACCAGAGGTGTTACATTTGTCCCAAACTTTGCCTCAGAGCTGTGGCCTCCAGAAGCCTGAAATAAGCCCGGTGATGAGCCTCTTGCTCGCAACCTCTCAAATACTTACCCTGAAATGTTCAGTCATATTCAGAATTCAGAATATTATTTAATGACAATTTGGGTAACAGATTGTTTAACTGAACTTTTTGTCAGGTTAAAATAAATATTTGCCAGTTATAGCTTCTTAAATCAGGGATGTTCATAATGACTAATTTTCCTGACATGTGAAGGGAAGTTTATACTTAGTTGAATCAAAAACAGCACAATTTCATATTGTCCGAAAAATTGCATTTAACAGCCATTTTAAATTGTTAACCCCTCTTTAAAAAAACATTTTTACTTTGCACCGTGCAGCATGAACTTTCCTCATTAAATTAAATCAATAAATACAAGTTAGCAAATAACATTTATTGAAAACAATATTCTGTAGGAAAATACATCTTTAAGAAATGTCTGTCTGGTTTCGGCATTTTTATTGATTGAACAAAATTGCATAAAATAATAATTTTAATCATAAATAACCAACTAGTATTTCTGGTGCTGACTAGTGGGGATAGCAGTGTAAAATTGACTAACTGTGCACATGTGATTATCTGCTGACTATTTATGTCATTGCATACTTTCGGTCCTTTTAATCATTAAGCCCTTTTAATTTTGAATATTGGTCTATACTGATATTTTCTGAAATGTTTATTTTCCCCAGTAATACACCTACACAGTGCATATTTTGCCTGAAGAAGGCTTATATCACAATCAATAAAGCCTATCTGATTTAATTTATGTACGATAGATGAATAAAATATATTAAAATGAATCCTTCATCACAGATTTCCTTAAGTAACTCATTTATGTGTTTGAATTGTGTCCTCTCTTATAGTCCTCTCCTATCACAGTGTTTCATATTGTCTTGTGCAGTATTCTTGGATAGTGCAGTGTCAGTGTGCCACTGTACTGTGAGCACGTTGGGCACAATTTGGACATCCTTTCTCTATCCTCAGCATGAACACAGCAGTAACATTTAATTGCTGTTTTTGAGCTACCTGCCGTTAGAGGCAGAGCTCACCTGAGAAATGTCAGTGGGAAATGCCAACTAAAATAGATTTTTCACTCACTGATGCTTGCTGACTGGGTGGATATCTTTTAATTAAAACAGCTGGCTGCTGATTATTTGTTTATGCCACTTTATGTTTAACCTGTTTATAACCTTGAGTGTCAGGAAATGGTTTCAGTATTGTTATCGAATTGTCTTTGACAGCTCATGTCACCTTAGTGCAGTAAACAAAGGATCAGAAAGATGGGGGTTTATAAACCCCTAGTAATCTATTTAAAATGTCCCTGTTAGCCTCTAATATAAAGACCTTACTTGGGCTTTTGTAGCTTGTGATTGGCATCATATTTTTGACACGCCACTGACAAAATTATTAATCAGTGCTGGACACGATTGTTAGTTTTTCGGCCGTACTTGTGTTGTTTATAGTTCAACTTAGGCAGCGTCTGTTATCTGGTTTCACAAATAAAGCATTGGTGATTCTGGATTACAGGTTTCACAAAGGTGGTTATCAGCTAGTGTTGTTGGTACAGGATTTTCCAGTTTATGAGTTTATACACATGAAGGAGTTGGAGTTTGTGACAAACAGCCAGTCACATGCAGCATCAGCAGATAACACACAGGGTGTTTAACACATGTTGAAAATATTGATTCCTGCAGGAAAATCAGGTCATTGCAGTCAAAGAGTAAACAAAGTGAAAGATGTCCTTTATAACGACTAGAATAGAACAAAGATGATGGAAATAGTAGAAAATAATACAGCCATTAAATGCCAGAAACACTGGATCTTTAAGTTTATGTTATTTTTTCAGGGCTCTGCATTTTTCTGATCCTAAGGTGCCTGGATTGTGTTTTGAGCAGAGTATAGGTAGTAGACATGCCAAAATATAGGGACATAAATAAAATAAGGCTTATGCATGACTGCATTGCAGTGCACATAAATTAGCTCATTGCAAGTGTGAAGATTCACTTCGTTAATTAAATTAAAAAGGCAGATTGGTGCACTTTGTTAGAGCACAGTGGGAAAATGTCCTATTTAGTGCATAGTGTCATCTCAGTTATAGTTATAGATTTCATCAAGGGGTATCTTGTGCACCTGAGCTCCAGTGTCAGTTATACAATAGTTTCAACACAATTATTATCAAACAGTAGTAGCAAAATAAATGTATTACAGATGGGAATAGCTATAGGTGCTCTTTAATCCCGTTTATAGCCACAGTGACTATGTTTACATGCAGGCTAATACTCCACTATCATTTGAAATGTAACAGCATACTGTATTTGATATGGGTCATGTAAACAACATATTGCATCTAGATATTCTGAATTAGGCCTTACTTTAAATGTCGCATCATCTGATTGAGATGTGGGACATGCCAGTATTATTTGGGTTGTAGGAGCATTGTTTAGATGAGCAAACCCTACACTTTTCAGGCTTTGATTTTGGTTTTGTAACAGGAAAGAAACGTAGATCTCCTTCCAACCTCTCCAGACAACGAGTGTCATTAATAGATGTACAATGTTTAGCTCGTAATCCACAAAACCACCATGAAAATGACGGAATCTGAAACGATTGCCTGAGAGTCCTTGGAGCACAGCCATGTAGGTGTTGGACCCTTGCGGGAGCTGGCCGATTGATTAGCGAGTCTACGTTCAAAGGACAAGACTTCGGGAAGGGTCAGTTGGGGTTTGCCACAATCTGTGATGCACCGTCTCTTGCCTGTTTATTAGGGGTGTAACGGTACACAAAAATCACGGTTCGGTACGTACCTCGGTACACAAGTCATGGTTCGGTTTTTTTTTTTTTTTTTTTTGGTACAGTAATGAAAAAAATAGACAACTATTAAATATCTTTTACTTATTGGTAATCTTATTAAAACGTACCACCACAGCAGTTAACTCTTTTTACGCAATTTTTGAATGAAACAAATATATATAAAATCCTGCTTTTTCACATTGTTTGAATGAAAATAGAACTATAAAAGTGAAAAATAAAATCCTGCTGTTTTTTTAACACATTTTTTGAATGAAAAATATAAATATAAATTTCTGCTTAAACAATTTTACTCAAATAAAATAAAAAGTATAGTGCAGCTGGTCAGCTTTAAAGCCTGCTCAGATTCAGTTTAACTAGGAACTTACTTAGCTTTCCCACTTTGTTAAAGTGCAGTAAACAAAACATGCTTATATCTAAAGTGCATTGAACAAAACATGCTTCAATATCTAAAATGCTGCTTAAACAACACTCCAATGGCGTTCGTTATTTAGCGCGATCAGAATGGTCAGGGAAACGCTCTTTCTTTTTAAACGACGATGATATCGTAGTTTGCACCAGATTGCTCTTTCTAGTCGTGCAGGTTAAAGTTCAAACTCGGGTAGTGACGCTTTAGATGCGTTAGCATGTTAGACGTGTTTCCAAGTAAATACCCGACCGCTGTTCTGCAGTGTCGGCACACTGCTTTTGTCTTGTCCACTTGTTTATTTCCATCTTCGTATTTTACCCTGAAACCAAAGTGTTCCCAAACGGAGGACTTAAGGTTTGCGGGTGGGTCTTCAGGTTCGTCAGGCTCACCTGCCATGTTGTCAAAATGCGAGAACGCGCTGCACAAAGTGAAGACAGAGATTTACGGTCGGACTCGGTCTGTCACTCAGTTATGTCCGTCGGGGAACTAGATATTTTAAATGGTTCGGCTCGCAAAAACGGAATTAAAATAAAACAAAATAAAATAAAATAATATCCTGCGCCCAATAATTCGGTACAGGGTCGTGCCGAACTGAAAGTCGCGCATCGAACGGTTCGACACAAATACACATACCGTTACGGCCCTACTGTTTATGGTCTGCTCTGCGTGTTGTACACAAATCAACTGGCCAACAGTAGTTTGCAAGACTGGAGTAGAGATGCATGGACCCCCCCACCCCGAAAATAACTTGAATGCACCTAATTTTAAAGACTACGCTTTGGATATCTCCAGGGTTTTGTATCTGCGCAAATATTACAACACCGACCTTTTCTAGAAGGTGATCAAAGGAATGAGTGAGGGATGCTTTGTTTGCACGAACAAACAAGTCCACCACCAGTGGGAAACTTTGAAAAAATCTAATTTTGATGCAAAAAAGTAGCAGTATCTCTTTCTTAATCAGAGTATGCACAGCTGCATGTAAATATAAATTAGTGGTATATATTAATTCACATTAGCAATGTGAAATACTGTTTTTTTTCCATAATAATGACAAAGACTGAATATTGTGTGGAAGGTAATGTCAGTGAAACACTTTATACAAACTTCTGCTGTATTTCTGAGTGTTTTTATTAAACTTATCCAATACAACCTGACACAAATCACACAACACCTTAGCTTCTAGTAATAGAAAAAAAATGCATAAAATCTGATATAATGGAAAGAAAAATCTTTCCGTGTCCGTCAGTATTTATAACTATAACATGAATGTGATATTTCTGTCCCTTTTTTATGACTCTGTAGGAACGGTGACTCCATTTTTCCCCTCACAGTTGAGGGATGAGGAGGTGGACATTTTATACGTTTTGATAAGCCTGAACAAAAACTGCTCCTTGCAGGTTTGGTTTGCGGTGTTGGTTGCCATAGCAGTGGAGCTTGATTTAAAATCAAGCCATCGTTGTGGGACAAAAATACGTCGGGTTGGGTTAACCCTCAGTTAGTGATTTAACCCACCAATCCTGCTTCGTGAGCTCACGGACTCGACAGGACGTGGCTGCAGCAAGAGAAAGGATGTG